CGCTGCTGCTGCCCGGGACGTTTGGACCTGCTGTGCGTGCTGGCGCTGCTCGGGGGCTGCCTGCTCCCCGTGTGCCGGACGCGCGTCTACACAAACCACTGGGCAGTCAAAATCGCCGGGGGCTTCCCGGAGGCCAACCGTATCGCCAGCAAGTACGGATTCATCAACATAGGACAGGTAACGAACTACAGGCTGGCCCAGCCCTCGGCCCTGAAGCCACTGAGGGCTTCTTGTCCCCTCTGCGTGGAACCCCCTCCCCCTCTTCCAGATGTGCTCTAGCAGCTGTTGCCCTAACTCTTGGGCGATGCTCTGTCTCTTGCGCGCGCGCGCGCGTACACACACACACACACACCCCAGAGTTGCCGGGTCCGTGTTTTGTTTACTTGTCTTTTGCAAGCCACGCGGGACTGGTAGGGTCTCGGGAAAAATCCAGAGTGCCCCCGTGGTGGTTTTAGAGACGGCTGGACCTTTTGACCTGAAAAGTTGAGTAGCACTAGTAATCTGAGGCAAAGTCTCGGAGAGGGTGATCGTGGGGAGAGGGTGAAATGAGGTCTTTTGGGGGATAGGGGGTGAGCGCGCCTCTGATGCCTGCGGGTAAGGGAAAACCTTTCCTGCTCGGACCTGAATTTAGCCCAGAAAGAAGTTTCCTCTTCTTGGGCGAGGGAACCGCTGGCGCTGGAAACGCCGGAGGCGCGGGGACTGGAGCTGGAAGGGAGGAAAAAGGAGGGGGAGGGAAGAGGGGGCGGCACCCGGTGTGAGTGCAGATTTAGGGGAGACATCTAGGCTTCCTTGCCTTAAGCGAGGTCCGCGTGGGGGCTCCCAGAAGGGAGTTGGAATGGGGAGGTGGGAAACTTCCGAAACCGGCTGGCTGGGTTCCGCTCCGGGAAAACTAGGAGTCTTACCCCGGGACGGAAGGTGCCGAGCCGGGAGGTTGCGCCGTGGGGCGAGAGTTGGGCAGGCAGCAGGGGCGCTGGGTTTTTGTGGGGTGCCGCTCGCGGGCTTTTGGCAGAGCTCCCCTGCTAGGGAGAAATGCCAATAAACTAAGGTGATGCTATGAGGATGACTGGAAGCGTAACAGATTTGGAGGTACTACGGGTTCAGTAGTCTTGGCTTTCTGGTTCTCTTCCCCCCACACCCCTGCGAGAAATGGGGGTAGAGAGGGCTATGAAATTGGGTTCCAAAAAGTACCTCCCTCCACATACACACCGCAAGCGTCTTTGAGGCTGGCCGGAGGAGCGGGTCCTGGCTGGGCTCAGGCGAGAATCCGCTAGAATGGGAGGTGAGGGTGATAGATGGCGCCTTTCCAGCAGGCGCGCTTTGGGGACTGCCCGGGGTGCACGCACCCTGCGTGCTCTGCCTGGGGGAAGGGAGAGGGAGGTGCTGGCTGGTGCCAGAGGAGTGGGAGAGTACGGACAGTTTCTGAGGCCATTGCGTTCCACGCCCAGGAACCCGGGGACACCCCACCCGCCTCCTCCCCGCCGCCTGGGGGATGCGGCACCTGGAGAGGAGGCAGAGCTGCTGTTGCCGAGTCTAGAAGGAGCTGGGGAGCGCGGGGAGTGTTCCGAGCAGCAGGAGCACAAGATCTTGCACTTTGCCCGCTCAGAGGGAGGACATATTGCAGAGAAGCCAGCCCTGTGGAGAACTGAGACTAGGGCAAGGGGCACGGTTTGTATTCCCTCCCGCCCCTGGAAGTAAGGAAGTAAGGGAAGCCAGCCAGATTTTGTTGCTTCAGTGACTGTCATCTGCGGAAGATTTCCATTCTAAAGGCTTGTTGGGATTCTACTGGCTGCTTTTTCTCTAGGAGAAAACACTGAGTCCGTTCAGGTCTTTTTACATGAACTTAAAGTTGGGCACTGCCTATGCTCTGGGAATGGAACTGGGGAGGTTAGCACTGAAAGTAGCTAGTACTATTAATCTTTCCAGAGAGTCATCTCGGGTTCTCCTAACATTGAACATCTCACACATGCCAGGCATTTTTGGAGGAATAAATTCTTGACCATACCCTTCTTTCTAAATCTCAAAACAACCTTGCTTGGTGAATATTACCTCACACAGGAGACGAGGAAACCGAGACCAGCTAAACAGTGGCAAAGCCATGATTCGGACCTGGGACTTTGTTGCAGGCCCAGTCCCCCATGGATCCTGCCTTTTAGGAAACCCTTCCATCCCATGATGAAGGAGGAAGAAAGTAAAATCTCCATTTCCTTGAATTCTGATTTAATGGCTCAGTAGACTGGAAACAAATATCTGGTCTCAGTTCACAGATAGTTCAAACAAACCTAGATTTCTTGACGTTAAGAACAAGGGCAGAAACAGCTGTTACCTTTCTGAGTTAATTGAGCAGAACTGGTATATGACAGAATCTGGCATAGTGAGATGGGAGAAATTGTCACCCAACCTACTTTTGAACAAGCAAACATTGCAATGTCCAGCAGCCTCTGCCTGACTTTTTATAAAAGGCCTTATAATGAAGATTCATGACTTCTCATTAAAAATAATAATACTAAGAAAGTTTACATACAAATAACGCCAAGAATGATTTATTGTGGTTTTTACAGCGACAGTGAGGAAATTTAGTGCTTACAGAGGTTACAGAGGACCCCTTGAACCAGTGTAAAAAGATCAGCTATTCTAGAGTGGAGAGCATTTCCTCTGTAGATCAAAGGAGCTTAAGCCTATGCTAAGTCTTTGGGGTGGTAAATTGAGTTCACACGTGCAGTATCATTGCACTGTAAGGGCCAAATGTATTTCTTAATCATCCTTTACTGCTCTGACCTTTCTACACTTTAGACATCCTTTTGTTATTCTTTCTTTCCATCAGTAAACCAGCTGTGGTAATCAGCTGAGGGCAGTCACTAATTTGCAGATACCTCTGAATTGTTCTGTAAATTTTTACCCATTTGGGCTTGGGGTCTCATGTGTTGCAAATTGGAACTGAAACTTGTTATTATTTCTGCAGCCATTTACTATCCTGGTAGTATTTTTTTATATCTTTGGTATGATATTCTAGGTGAGTAAGGTAGTGAATTTTTACCACAGTGAAGGTACAGTTTTGACTATTTACTCAGAATATCAGTGTAATGTTTTGTGTAACATCTTAGCATTTAAAAGTCACGAGAGGTAACATTTCTGGCTGGGCCAGGGGATTTCTATGGGATCAATAGTTGTGCCTCTTCTGTTAAAAAAAGATGGGATGTACGGAGTAACACAAGAAGAAAGCAAACAAACAAGCAAAAAGGACGGGTTTGATTTCCAGAAGGAAACATAAATGAGGATTTTCTTGCCTTTGTTTATAGAGCTAGCATATGTTTTCACAAAATGTTTATATTCCGTGAATAGTTGTGCTTTGAAATCCTGCGATAATAATACTTAACCATAATCATTGTTAGTTGTTGTCATGTTAGCATATATTATCTTTTGGTTGGTATCAGAGTCAGCTGCAAAATGCCCTCCTTTTCTTACCTACAAGTTCTGACTACCAGCCCTCTTAGGATCTAGTGGAACCAGCACCTTCTGAGCTGGCCGAGGGTAGGAGGTGTGCATGCCTATTGACCTGCATGGGAATGGAGGGAGAAGCCTTTGTCCTCCCTCACTAATCATGTGCTCTGACCCTTTGAGCTCACGATCTACTGGTTAGACAATTGAAATGATATAAAGAAATAAGACCTGACATATTGTTAATTGTGGACCTCCATTTAGAGTAAATCTACAAAGGAGAATTAATATCTGGTTATTTGAATTCAGGGAGAAGATCCCTTGTGAACAAACAGATTGTATGCAATGTGCAATAGCTGTATTTATCCTTCTGTCAGTTGCTTATAATCCTTGATTCCAGCCTGAGATTACCAGTAGCAAAGCCCCTTCCCCAAACCACATAACAATTTGAGTAACACCTCTGAAGGATAAAACTAGATGCAAGCCACGCTGGGGAAGTATTTTACCTAGAGCCCCCATTGACAGTATGTGGACTTGGAAACTCTGGAGAGGCCACTTTCGAGGCTGTGAAAGCAGGAAAGTCACTGAACTTAATGGAGCCTCTGTTCCTTCATCTGTAAAATGATAAATCTCTAGATAATAGAGTGAGTTAACTATGCATTGCTCAGCACATAGTTAGACTTGCAGCGAAAGGTTTATTTAATCTGAATCTGAGGAGAAAGGTCAAAATAAATGAGATCCGAAGTTTTAGATAAGGAGAAAGGAAGACATTTTAAAAATGGAGATGCGAAAGGTGAAGATCAGGAAAATAAATTTTTGAAGATTGAATTGTAAGAGCTATATCATAGCTTTGTGCAATGTTCCTGTTCAATGAGTAATTTAAAATATTAATAGTTTAGAAAGAGTTTCATGTTAGATTCTAAACAATTAGGATTGATTTCCCATGGCAGGGCCCTCTTCCCTCATTGATCCCAGTCACAGGCCATGAATTGTTATAAGATAAACATACTGCAGATGGACAAAAGGGAAGAAAAAAAAACCTGAAAAATTTTCTTAAATCATATTCGCATTTACATTTTATTTATTATTTTGGATGTAGTTTGTATGAGTAAAGCTAGAAGAAATATTTTTCAAGTAGGTAGGAAGAGATACATTCACAGGGAGAACTTTATTCAGAGATGTCCTGAACACCTCCCGCCCTGCTGATTAATTTTGAGCTGTGAATATCATAGGACGCTTGAAATGTTGACTCACGGTGGGCAGTGAATTCTGGGTGCTTATGGATAGTCCTGGAAATAGGGGATGTGGTTATCTGATGGGCTGTATGGGAGTGGATTGTGCTTGCATAATAAATTCTTAGGCATTTTGTAAACAGGAGAGTTAATTGGTGCTGTAGTCCCAGATTGGTCTTGGTGTGATAAATCTGGCTTTGCATAGGCAGCTCTTCATGCCCAAGAACCTCAGTCCTGACCCCTGCTAGCCACTCTCATATGCATATTTCTTATGAGGCAAATGAAGGGATAGTAGGGGAACCTTTGCTGGAAAAAGCAATTCAGAGTGCATGGCCTGATGATGGCAGGTCTGTTGCATTAACCTCATAGATAAGGAATGGCTTGTATGTGGTCATTGGGGATTTTGGGGTCTATTTGAAGTGAAAAACTGCATTTTTGTGAGCCTAAAGGCAGCTGACTTTGCCTTATGACTGTCTTTCATGGGCTTGCATCCAGAGGTCCTAACCTTAA